TGGTGTCGTCTGGGCCATATCGAAGAGAGTTCAATGACCTGTTTTAACTCGGGTGAGCAACCGTATGGGTGAACCGGGTTGTTCACAGGCAAGGTACCCCCCAGGTTCTTACCAGGCTCCCGGGTTTGAAAGAAAAGGTTTAAGAAGAGCAGCAAGTCAGGTGAGGACATCTCAAATTCATGGCATAAAAAGAGTATGAGAAAAACCCTTTGTGTTTGACCTTGATTACCATGTGCCTCAAAATTCAGTAGAGGAGCTGATGCAAGTGTCTCACATCTGGCTGTTAAATGGCTTACTGGTAACTTGAAAAAATTAATATGTAATCTCAAAAAAGAACATGTGCAAGTCTGTGGTGCACCAAACACAGAAAACCTGTGGTGTCCAGCACTCACATTTATTTTACTTTTCATTCTTTACCACATCATAAATAAGCATGGTGCATAATCCTACTGTGTTTAAAATGTCATGTTACAAGATCTCCATTCATTGTACATACAACTAATAACTTTGGTTTCTGAGTGGAGGACGGGTGGAAGACTAGTTACACATTAGAAAGCCTTTTGCCAGAGAAGTTGCAAAAGCAAATGTACAAGGGGGGGCGGGGGGAGGGGGGGGGAGAGATAAAACTGGGTATTCATTAACTGTCCTGAAGGGAGAGATACTGTGGTTTCACAGTAGTCTTTACTGCTACTATACAAAGAGGTCCTGCCTTATCTCACATCCAAAAATACTGCTTTTTTTCTTTAATTGGGATAAATTTCCTGATCTGGCTTGGTACTTGGCTGCTGTCTGTGGATGGGGCAGTAGAGAGAAGTATCAAATGAGATGGAGAAGAATGGTATGGCTATGGAAGCAGTTATGGTTTATGCAGTTGTGAAAATGCAGCCTGGTGTAGTAGCAGGTGTGAGCCATTGACAAAAACATGTTTCTGTAATGTTTTGACTTCAGCAAAGTGGAACATGTCAAAATGGACAGAATATGAAAATAAATATTGAGTTTCCTTGTTCATGAACACATACACTAATGTAGTCTGCTGACATTGGCTTTAGACGTGTATTAAGGAGCCTTACTAAGCAGACATTTTTTAAAGAGTTCTGTTATGTGTTGCGTATACTTTAGCACTTTTGAAAAGTCAAGTTTTGATGCTGTAATTTCAGTGGCAGGGTTTCTTATTAAGAAATATTGGACAAATAGCAAAGATTGTAATTGTTGTGAGTGGAAGCAAACTTGCTTTGCTTTTTGTATTACTACCGTTTATGTATATGACTCTTTAAGAGCATTTCCTTTCAAAGAAGGTAAGAGTGAACAGGTTAGGTTTTAAGTCAGGTGTGTCTAGACTGCCAAGCAGGCACCAAGTTATATAATGATTGGAGCAGTAAACAAAAAGAGGTGGACAAAAGTGCAATTGTCTTTATGTAACTGTCTGTATTTTTTTTCCCCAGGAAAGAAACCCCATCTCCTTCCTTGGGGAAGGATAGAGCAGACACAGTGATCATCGGAGGTGGTTGTGTTGGTGTGAGTCTAGCCTATCACTTGGCTAAGGCTGGCTTGAAGGATGTTGTTCTACTAGAAAAATCTGAGCTCACTGCAGGATCTACTTGGCATGCAGTAAGAAATGTTTTGTTAATCTCTGAGATTAACAGCAGTTTGTGTATCTAATGGTGGTGAAAATTTCATTACCTTTATATTCCTTGTCTTTCCAGAGATTAACTATCTTGGTTATTTTCTAGATGCAAACTTTAGCACAGAGTTCTTTATAGACTGGCTGGACTGGCTGTATGAGTTTTGAAAAGTTGGTACAGCTAGCCATAGTACACTCTTCTCATTTGTAAAAACTGGGACAAATACTGTATTTTGAAATCACTGGAAGGTAACAGTATTATTATACATTTTTGGCAGCTAACTGGATTTAGGCTTTAAACTTTATTTTAACGTGGACTTTTAAAATTTAATGTTTTATTTCTAAAGGAATCTAATTTATACTGCAGACTTTCTGATTATAAGTGGTTGCACTTGCAAGCATAAAGCAGAAATGTAAAATTTGGCATTACTGTAAGCATAATTACTTTTTATATATGTGCCATCCTGAAAAAGAGGTGACCAAGAAGCAGCATCAGTGTCCAGTTCTTAGAGAATATCACTGTCCCAGAAACTAATTCTTGTTAGAGGCAAGAACTTTCTTTCCTGACACCGCTGATATTACACAAAATCTTGGAGGAGCAAAGCTAACAAATTGTACACTCTGGTTTTTAAGGCAGAATGTCTGTACTCTAAGGAAAAGAACTAAAAGGACATGCATGTAATAATGACAGGGTGAGGACACCTGCTATAATAATGCTAATCACATGGACATACTGGTGCACAATCTGCATGTATGTAATTACATATTTTCTGTGTCAATGTTTGGAGCAGGGAGTATAACAAAATGAAATAAAGCTTGCCACACTAATAGATGCCTTTTCCATTCATTTCCAGCTAGCTTAGCTGAAATTGGGAAAATGTTATCCCTGTGTGGAGCAATACAAAAGACTAAAAACCCAACAGTTTGCTCTCTCAAGAACTGCTCTGTTAATACAACAGAGCATTTATGCAATACTTATCACTATAGTATATGAGTACCATTCAGGAACAACTTCAGGAGGATGACTCGCATTGTATTTGATTTGTATTCTCATACTTCTCTCAAGGAAGGAAGTCTAAAGTTTGAAATGCTTCATCTTAGTGCAGATGTTTTGTGTGTTTGGGGCCTTTTGAGAAAACAACAGTAAGAAGTGAAATTAAGAAGAATCACTGCCTGAAATATATAAGTAGGTTTATACTTCATTTTACTTGCTTTTCAACAAAGCAAAAGAAAACACACTGTATGGAGTTAGGAAAACCAAAATTCAGTGATTACGTCTCTTTTAAACAGAGTCACACCCCAGCTGATGCTGTTCAGTGAACAGAGTGACACCATGCATAGTGTCAGATCATGCATCTTGTGTATTGAATCATAACTATGAAATGCTCAAAGAAATACTTTGACTGAAGTACCTGAGTGAGGCACAGACTGAATTCTATTTACCCAATGCATATACAGAACAGTATGTGTGTAAAAAATAATAAAAATCTTCTAATTGAGTAAGAAACCAAAATCATAAATGGGGAGTTGTTACTAAGTGTTTACTTTGTTCTTGTGGTTATACTTGCTCACTCTAGCTTATTGATCATAACTATGTAAAAGCAACCTCTCCTTCAGTGTTTTTGCCCCCACTTGTTAGTGAACACAGCAATGGAGCATTGACTGAGGAACTGTGTTTCAAAGGTAGGGAGGGACCTGGAGCGCAGCACAGAAAAGGCCTGCACTACCGCTATTGAGACGGCTGCCTTGTCGCACCTGTTGCAGCAGAATTTGATGCGATTAATACAGCAAGACACCTAGTTATGGGACAGGTTAAAATGAATAACTATTAGGTAAACTACATGATATACTGTCTCTTTTCATTGAACTCAGAGTGCTGTGTCTGAAGATGAAAAACTTTATCATAAATCTGTTTCACATGATGAGAAAGCTCAAAACTGTGACTGTGAGTTCTTTGTTATACTAGGTACTGTGCGTTTATCAGTGGTTTCCTCACTGTGATACAGTACAAGATACAGATGAAAATTACACATATAGTTAGCACATGAAATGGCACGTAGCATATTGCCTGCAGCCACAGATGTTGAAAGTCTGTTTCAGATATTGCCATACTATACCACATTTTCCCTCTTTCACAGTCCTGACAGATCTCAGGATCATGTTTCATATAGATCATATTCCTGCTACTGTTGCTGCCAAAACTTTCTTCCACTTCTCATGTCTGAGATAAATTAGGCTGACTTTCATGTGTGTTATTAAAACAGTACAGAAAGTGTGCACATTTTTATATTACCAGTAATAAGAAGATAGAAATAACAGAGCGAGTGCTGCTCATTTTAAACCATGACAAAGTAGTGGTTGTTATATGTGTGTAAATTAGGTCGAGACTTAGCCTTTAAGAACTCTTGAAGTTGTACTATTCTGCAGGTCAGATCATTTGCAGTCTCACCAAACCAGTAGGGACTGAACAAGGTGTGTGTATAACTCACTCAGCAAACAGATTTTTTGTGTTGTTACTTTTTTTTAAAAGGTGTTTTCTAAGAAAATGTTTAACATTGCATACTGTTCTGTGATACTTTTTCTTGCGACATACAGTTGATTTTGCTGCTGACAGTTAATAAAGCGCAGCACAAGGCAAATAAAAACTTCTTACAACTTGGTCGAACTTGCAGGAGGGTATGATAGTGTTAATACCATTTTCTTCCAGAATGCTAATTTAATAATGGTGTTAGTATAAAATTAGAAACAGATTGGAATAGAATAAAACTGATACATAAACATTTTAACATGTAAGAATTTCGGCTATAAAAATGCTTAGAAATCTGTGTCAGTCCTCACTGCTGAGTGGCCATTCTTAAAATTATTTTCCCAGATCGTGTTCACCTACAATAACAAAATCTCTGTCTTACAAAAATAGGGCAAATCCTAGAGCAAATCTCCTTCAAATACAAGAATGGTTCACCTCAAAACTTAGGAAGGCAAGGAGACACATTGGGAGGCTTGCTGGGCCAGATAGGGAGCTCATGACTGAGTTCCAGAGCAAAAATGCAGTATACAGGAGGTAGAAGTAGCAAAAGGCTACAAAGGGGAAATTCAGAAAAATTGCCTGGGCATGTGAAGGGAATGTTAGGAAAGCCAAAGCTCAACTAGTGTTAAGACTTCTAAGGAACATTAAAGCCAACAAGAAGAGCTTCTACTGCTGCATTAGTAGTAAAAAGCCAAACAAGGAAAATGTGGAACTATTGCTGAGTGAGGTGGGTAGTTTAGTCATAGCGTACACTGATAAGTACTCAGTAGTGCCTTTGCATGCATTTTCACTGACAAGGTTTCTCAGGCCTCTGTGCTCTGAGCAGGGTTCAAGGAGAAGAGGAACTACCAGCAGTGGATGTGGCTCAAGCCAGGGATTACTGGGAGAATTAGTCTCATTCACATCCGTTGTACCAGATGGACTGCATCCAAGAATGCTGCTGATGGCATTGCAAGCCTGCAAATGTATCACCTTCGAAATTCAGACTGTGGAGATTGGTGGAGGTGCCAAGTATTTGAAGAAGGGCATATGTATGCATCTTTAAAAAAAGCCAAAGGGACGAGCAGAGGAGCTAAAGGCCAGCTAGCCATACTTTGATTCTTGGGAGTGAGCCTCAGATGTGGTCCCATAAAGAAGAAAAAAGGTGATTTGGAACAGTCAGCATAGATTTGCCAAGTGTAAATCATGTCTGACCAAATCTGATTGCCTTCTATGGTAGATTGACTGAATTTCTAAGAAGGGAGAGCAGTTGATTTCACGTACCTAAATTTTAGCAAGACCTTAGACACTGTCTCCCACAATAATAATGTATTCAACTGAAGATATTATGGTCTGTATTAACTAGATAGTTAAAAGACTGTTTGGATGGTTGGACTCAGAGGGTAGCAGTTAATGGGTCATACTCTCCCCAAATCCTGGAAATAAGTGGAGTGTCAGAGGGGTCTGACCTTTCCTGTGTAATATCTTAATGAATCATCTGGAGTAGGTAATGAAGTACATGCTCATCAAGTTTGCAGTTGACACCAAACTGGGATGACCAGGGAATGCACTCAAAGGCAAGGCTGCCATGCTGAGGGACCTAGACAGGCTGGAAGGATGGAAGGAGAGGAACATAATTAAATTTAACATGGACAAATGCAAAGTTCTGTACTTGGCCAGAGAAGTAGTGTGGTCTCTGTCCTTGGAGATTTTCAAGACCAGGCTGGAAAAAATCTTCAGCAACCTGGTCTGATCTCATAGCTGACCCTGCCTTGAGTATGAGGTTGGATAGAGACTGCCTGAGGTCCCATTCAATCTATTTGTTTTATTGTCATTGTTTTATGATTCTATGATATTTTTTGTATAGCCCAGACAGGTTATAGTTGTCTCCCAACTACACTCCTGAAGTTAGAAACTTTTGTTATCTGAAGCCAAAAGGCAACAAATGTGTTTAAAATTATTTTTGTCACTTAAAAATGTCAGAGAGAGAAGTTTTGATTTAATTCCTGCAATTAAATGCTCTTGAATGTATATGAGGTTTTATAGCTAACTTGTAAGTGATTTGTGGTTCATTTGGTTCAAAATGACTTTACTAACAGTGACCACTAAAACGGAATTTCCC